CCTTTCTTCAGCATCGCACTGCTGACAAAGTTGAAGTCACGCTAGCGCAACTAGCATCCGCATCGCATTGCGTCACATTACATGATCACGCACTCGCCTGGCCGCAACGGCTACTAGACGCTCAGCACGCAATGCTTAAATGAGAGTAAAAAAGAGTGGAGTGACGCCTCTCTCTTCCTCTCTTTCCGTGAGAACAGCTTTGCTTTTCACGCTCTTCATTTCTCACGCCCTGCCTCGCCAGGTACATTCGCCAACTCGCGCGGTGAGGGGCTTTTACAGCAGAGGTTGTCGAAGTGCACCTAAAGTGGGGGTTTGCTCGGCATCGCTTGCCGCTTTCCCTTGCGAGCAATGCCTCGCTCTGCACTGCACATTCGAGCAACCTCTGCGGAAAAATAGAGCGTATGCAGTTCGCACTGCACTTAGCGTTGAGAACAGTTAGGAGAACGCTAGTTGTGAGTTTGTGTTTTTGATTCAACTGTGTTTTCTTATCTGTGTCGAAACCTTCAAACGCTCCGCGCTGCTTTCGGCACCAGCACTCACAACTAGTGTTCGCTTTCTTGCATCGCATGCATAAGAAATTTTTCACCCACCCTCCACGCCCTTGGGGGTTTGCTCGGCATCGCTTGCCGCTTTCCCTTGCGAGCAATGCCTCGCTCTGCACTGCACATTCGAGCAACCTCTGCGGAAAAATAGAGCGTATGCAGTTCGCACTGCACTTAGCGTTGAGAACAGTTAGGAGAACAAAGAGGTGAGTGCGGTGGGTTCGTAGATCAGGCAAGCTCAGGGTCCAGAGCCCAGGAGCACCAGCGCAGCTGCAAGCCAGCCTTACTTCGCCGCAGGCGGGCATGCCGCCAGCCCTTGCCGCTGCTGCTGCGGCCGCGGCACGAGTGCGTGAGGCTGGCTTTCCAGTCCCCGACTGGATCGGTGCGGCCGCGCCTGCTGCTCCGCACCCTCCGCAAACGGACAGCCACCTGCGTGGCTGGCAGCACGCTGCCTTCGCAGCTTGTGACGAGCGCGCGCTGGAGACGCACCTTTCTGACCTCGACCCTGCGTCCCGAGCGCTGCTGCTCTTTCAAGCTGGACGCCCCGTGCTCCTTTTGCGACGGCTTCGTGTGCCACCACCCGTCGCACCGCGCACCTGCCGCTGCCGAGGCCGCCTCGACCCGCTTGGTGACCACCGCTCCGCCACCTCCGGAGTGTTGGCTTCCCGAGCCCTTCTGCTCGAGCATGCGGTCGCCCGCGTCTGCCGCGAAGGGGGCGCGCGGGTTGCCCGGAACGTTCGGCTCGCTGACATGAACATTGATGTTCCCGTCAGCGACGCGCGGTGATTTGAGGTCGTCGCAAACGGCTTGCCCCTGTGGCACGGGGCACAGCTCGCGCTGGACGCCACGCTCGTTAGCCCCGTTACGCGGAACGGGGAGCCGCAGCCGGGTGCCGCCGCACGCCCTGGCGCGGCCGTCCAGGCCGCCGCTCGCCGAAAGCGGCGCCAAACGTACGTTGAGCTCGAGAGCGCGCGGCGGGCGCGTCTCGTCGTTATCGGGGTCGAGGTCGGCGGGCGCTTCGGCGCGGAAACTGCCGCCTTCCTTCGCCACCTTGCCCGGCACCGTGCGGCCAGCCTCCCGCCACTCCTCCGGGCCGCTGCCTGTGCAGGCTGGGTCCAGCGCTGGTCCGGCCTCCTTGTGGTCGCCGCCATGCGTGCGTATGCGGCGTCCCTCCTCGAGCTGCCGCTTGGTGGTGACCTCTGCGATGCGGGAGAGGCGCCCGACCTCCACGAAGTCCTTGCTGAGGTCCGAGGCGGCCCTCCGCTGGTCGCTAGCCGCCTGCCGGCGCCGTGAACCGACCGCATTACCCTGTAGGGTGTCTGTGCACTGGAACCGCGGTCACTGTTCCAAAAGAAAAAATAGAGATGGACAAGGCCGTTGAAGTGCTGCGGCCAGCACACAATAAGCGCGAACGACACCTGCAGAATCTGTAGAAGATGTTGGCCCAGAATCAGGATACCTCCCTGCTTGATGATGCCAAGTCTTTGCTGGAGAACTTGAAAGCATCCCCGGCCCATTTTTATGTTGCAATATGAATGTCGCAGTGCATGCGCCCTATCTAGAGGACTGATGGTCTTGATTTCGTGAGAGGTATGCATGTTGGCAAGCCATGCATCGTTGTAGTGCGTCGCAGTTCGATCCGACGGAAGCTTCGAATGGTATGTTGATTCACGCGAAAGCACAATACAACAAAAAGCACTGTTTCAGAGTCCCTCCACTTCCTGCCAGGCTGCTGAACCTGTGGTCCTGCTTGACATCACCGCAGCCTGGTGCCCGGAAGTCGACATGATTTGCATCTGATGAATGCAATGATCGAATGCAAATCGGATGCATGCCGATTTCGCTGAGGACCTGGATGCCGCTGCGACTAGATTCAAGATCGCACCGCAGACGGAAAACGATCGTATGGAGAGGTGATGACGGCACACCGGCGTCGCTTGCAAGAAGTCAGTCGCTTGAAACAGGAGCATCGCAGCCTAAAGCGAAAAAAACCTAAGCTGAAGCTAAGTCTTGCTTTAGCAGGGCCAGATGCTTGGGCAGGGGGCACTCGTGTTTGTGGGGAAGAAGTGGGTGAAGAAGTCAGGGTGGTTGCCAGGTTTCAGCGAATTCGGCCACCCCTTTCTACTCCAGTCCACTGTGCTGTCCACAGCCGTTCTCCGTGAGATTGAACGCATAAGGGCGAAGGTGTTCTTGCTGCCAAAGGCGTATGTACCAGTTTGGTATCATCGGATGTTTCAGTGATGGTACTTCGCAGGCAGCACCATGTGCTACGTCTTGGCTTCATTCCAGACTTGGAGCCCGCCCTCGATGTGTGTGTCTCCGTCTTGAAGGCGAGCTTCCCGGAGCGGCTACAGTACACAGAGAATGCACATGCCAACAGGTTTGCCATCAGCGAGGGCCAACCCACTGCTGTCGTTGTTTTCGGAGTTGGCCGCTGCTGAACTTGACTGATTACATGTCAAATTATGCTCTGCAAAGTGTGTGCTAAGCCAGTCACAGCGCAGCTTCCAGGATGCAGGCTCGGTGACCTTGCTTGGGACGTGCCTCAGGCTTGGCGTGGTGGGTTCTGCCTTGGTTGATTTGCCAAGCACTTGCGGTTCCAAGTTAGACCTGAGACATGCTAGCTAGCAGCAGCATGTACTTCAACAGGCGTAACGGACCAGTACCAGCGCCGAACGTCGTCGTGGTGTTGAGGCTCACACTAATTGTTGCGGTGCGTAGACCATGCGGGCCGTGCTCTTCCTTGTCTTGATGGCACTCGCCGCTGCCTCTGAGCGCCGGCGGCGAGACCGTAGTCGCGACTTTGAGATCAAGTTTCGGACAGACGGAATAGCAAAAGACCAATTGCAAGGCTTAAACTTCACCGTGGTTCATTTCAAGATCGTGCCATTGCAAGATCCATTTCATCAGTTTCAGAGAGGTCAGCGGCATTCAATTGCTGGGAATTCTGGCAGCTTTCGCTTCCGGATGGGTGACATTGCTGACTCGAGCATCACCAGGTATTTCGCAGGGCATTTGCCAGCTTGGAAGCAGACCTTGTCTTCCTGGCCGACAAAGATGTATTTCGCAGCCATCGGCGATCTGGATGTGCAACTGCAGCTTGGGGGGAAGCCCGGGTCCAGCTTCAGGTTCAAGGACGTGATGTTTGGACCCTACTATTCTACCCAAGTTAGGGGTGAGCATTCTAAATGTTTTGGCCGGAAGTGTTATGCATGGTTGTTTGGAGGCTCATCCTGTCGCCGCTACCGCGATGGCCATCAAGTTGAATGCAAAAGTGAAAAGCATGCATCTGGAGAAGTTGCCAGCATTGTGGTTCGCCTCGAAGCTTGGGAAGTTCACTTCAGGAAAATCTCGGTTGCGGAAGAAGGATGCAACGAGACGAACGCGACCCTTTCTGCACGCAGTGATGGTGCGCCTAAGGGCAACACAACTGTGCCGTAGGTGCTAAGCCTGTCAAGGTCCAGGTGACACCGGCAACCAGACCACCCAGACAATTGGACAATTGAAGATGTTATGTACAGTCTTTTGCCAGCAGCTTTTGGTCGGCACCACTTGCAGATGGCCCGCCTTGACTGATTGCTCCTGATGGGACACCATTTGAATCGTCCTGTCCTGCACCAGAAGCACCAAAACAGATTGCAGCCTGAAAGCAAGCTCGGCTGTTGTCATGCGAAGCCCGCCTCAAATGGCCCGGACCTCATTGTGCTGGTTGGCGCGGAGGCATACCTCTGCGCTGCCGCTGGCTAATCTTGGGCAAAGGAGGCCAGGCAATGGTTTTTTGCCCCTTCAAGCCACAAAGCTGTGCTTTCAAGCCATGACACCCCAACTTTTCTCTCCTGGCGCAGATGGAAACCAGGCACTCACGCCGCGCCCACGCCGGTTTGTTCCGCGTGATGTCTCGTGAGAAATTTCAATGGCTCGGCTCGAGGATCTTGGCTGCGTACATGCGGAACACAAGCTTGCCATTTCCATCGAGGCACATTGCAAAGTGCGGATGGCTTCACTACTGACGCCATGCGAAGTTGTGCGAGGCAGCACTGGCCCTGTACTTACATGCCTATCAGGCCAGACCGTCCCGGCCCCTTTCCACATGTCATGCCATTGCTCGTATGGAGTCCCTGCGAACAGGTATCAAGGCAGGCCGCACGCGGCTATTCGGAAAACTTAGCAGACACAGTCCCTGGGCCGCAAGTATTCGTCACCTCTGCAAAGTGTGTGCTAAGCCAGTCACAGCGCAGCTTCCAGGATGCAGGCTTGGTGACCTTGCTTGGGACGTGCCTCAGGCTTGGCGTGGTGGGTTCTGCCTTGGTTGATTTGCCAAGCACTTGCGGTTCCAAGTTAGACCTGAGACATGTTAGCTAGCAGCAGCATGTACATCAACAGGCGTAACGGACCAGTACCAGCGCCGAACGTCGTCGTGGTGTTGAGGCTCACACTAATTGTTGCGGTGCGTAGACCATGCGGGCCGTGCTCTTCCTTGTCTTGATGGCACTCGCCGCTGCCTCTGAGCGCCGGCGGCGAGACCGTGGTCGCGACTTTGAGATCAAGTTTCGGACAGACGGAATAACAAAAGACCAATTGCAAGGCTTAAACTTCACCGTGGTTCATTTCAAGATCGTGCCATTGCAAGATCCATTTCATCAGTTTCAGAGAGGTCAGCGGCATTCAATTGCTGGGAATTCTGGCAGCTTTCGCTTCCGGATGGGTGACATTGCTGACTCGAGCATCACCAGGTATTTCGCAGGGCATTTGCCAGAATGGAAGCAGACCTTGTCTCCCTGGCCGAAAAAGATGTATTTCGCAGCCATCGGCGATCTGGATGTGCAACTGCAGCTTGGGGAGAAGCCCGGGTCCAGCTTCAGGTTCAAGGACGTGATGTTTGGACCCTACGTCAGGGATGAGCATCCTACATGTATTGGCCAGAAGTGTTATGCATGGTTGTTTGGAGGCTCATCCTGTCGCCGCTACCTCGATAGCTATCAATTCTTTGATCATCAAGTTGAATGCAAAAGTGAAAAGCATGCATCTGGAGAAGTTGCCAGCATTGTGGTTCGCCTCGAAGCTTGGGAAGTTCACTTCAGGTATATCTCGGTTGGGAAAGAAGGATGCAACAAGACGAACGCGACCCCTTCAGCACGCAGTGATGGTGCGCCAAAGGGCAACACGACTGTGCCGTAGGTGCTCAGCCTGTCAAGGTGACACCGGCAACCAGACCACCCAGACAATTGGGCCTTTGAAGATGTTATGTACAGTCTTTTGCCAGCAGCTTTTGGTCGGCACCACTTGCAGATGGCCCACCTTGACTGATTGCTCCTGATGGGACACCATTTGAATCGTCCTGTCCTGCACCAGAAGCACCAAAACAGATTGCAGCCTGAAAGCAAGCTCGGCTGTTGTCATGCGAAGCCCGCCTCAAATGGCCCGGACCTCATTGTGCTGGTTGGCGCGGAGGCATACCTCTGCGCTGCCGCTGGCTAATCTTGGGCAAAGGAGGCCAGGCAATGGTTTTTTGCCCCTTCAAGCCACAAAGCTGTGCTTTCAAGCCATGACACCCCAACTTTTCTCTCCTGGCGCAGATGGAAACCAGGCACTCACGCCGCGCCCACGCCGGTTTGTTCCGCGTGATGTCTCGTGAGGGATTTCAATGGCTCGGCTCGAGGATCTTGGCTGCGTACATGCGGAACACAAGCTTGCCATCTCCATCGAGGCACATTGCAAAGTGCGGATGGCTTCACTACTGACGCCATGCGAAGTTGTGCGAGGCAGCACTGGCCCTGTACTTACATGCCTCTCAGGCCAGACCGTCTTGGCCCCTTTCCACATGTCATGCCATTGCTCGTATGGAGTCCCTGCGAACAGGTATCAAGGCAGGCCGCACGCGGCTATTCGGAAAACTTAGCAGACACAGCCCCTGGGCCGCAAGTATTCGTCACCTCTGCAAAGTGTGTGCTAAGCCAGTCACAGCGCAGCTTCCAGGATGCAGGCTCGGTGACCTTGCTTGGGACGTGCCTCAGGCTTGGCGTGGTGGGTTCTGCCTTGGTTGATTTGCCAAGCACTTGCGGTTCCAAGTTAGACCTGAGACATGTTAGCTAACAGCAGCATGTACATCAACAGGCGTAACGGACCAGTACCAGCGCCGAACGTCGTCGTGGTGTTGAGGCTCACACTAATTGTTGCGGTGCGTAGACCATGCGGGCCGTGCTCTTCCTTGTCTTGATGGCACTCGCCGCTGCCTCTGAGCGCCGGCGGCGAGACCGTGGTCGCGACTTTGAGATCAAGTTTCGGACAGACGGAATAGCAAAAGACCAATTGCAAGGCTTAAACTTCACCGTGGTTCATTTCAAGCACGTGCCATTGCAAGATCCATTTCATCAGTTTCAGAGAGGTCAGCGGCATTCAATTGTTGAGAATTCTGGCAGCTTTCGCTTCCGGATGGGTGACATTGCTGACTCGAGCGCCACCAGGTATTTCGCAGGGCGTTTGCCAGCTTGGAAGCAGACCTTGTCTTCCTGGCCGACAAAGATGTATGTCGCAGCCATCGGCGATCTGGATGTGCAACTGCAGCTTGGGGAGAAGCCCGGGTCCAGCTTCAGGTTCAAGGACAGCGCGCCTACGCGGCGACGCTCCTCGAGCTGCCCCCGGCTGCCGAGTTGGGTGAAGGACCCATGCCCGACTTGCACGAGGTCCTCGCCGACGCGCGCTGGGACTAAAACGGTCTCGCGCGAAGCAGGCATGTAGGCCGCCGTTGCACTGGGACCGCGCTCGTACTGGTTGCAAAATAGTGCGCGAAAAAAAAAAAAAGGACGTGATGTTTGGACCCTACGTTAGGGATGAGCATCCTACATGTATTGGCCAGAAGTGTTATGCATGGTTGTTTGGAGGCTCATCCTGTCGCCGATACCGCGATGGCCGTCAAGTTGAATGCAAAAGTGAAAAGCATGCATCTGGAGAAGTTGCCAGCATTGTGGTTCGCCTCGAAGCTTGGGAAGTTCACTTCAGGTATATCTCGGTTGGGAAAGAAGGATGCAACAAGACGAACGCGACCCCTTCAGCATGCAGTGATGGTGCGCCAAAGGGCAACACGACTGTGCCGCAGGTGCTCAGCCTGTCAAGGTGACACCGGCAACCAGACCACCCAGACAACTGGGCCTTTTAAAGATGTTATGTACAGTCTTCTACCAGCAAACCCAGTCACATGCCACCAGGCGAGCTACGCCTGGCCGCATGACCTTGACCGCGATATCCTTTCCTAGGCTTCAAGATTCAGAGATTCATGACTGGATCTTTCAATGACTTTGCAAAACTCGCAGATGGGGTTGCTAGTGGCGTCTTTCTCGAGCTAGACTACCACAACGAAGGGCGAAATATGGAAGACTTCGTGCGCGAGCACATGAGGTTGGGATTTGTCACTGCGCCTGCCGGGGTGCGTGAATATACCGGTCCCATGCGAGACGCTCGTGTACTCAGCACTGCGTGGGCGGATGGCTTAGACTTCCAGGACCTGCCTGAAAGGTTAAGGCACAGAGCGAGCGGTTCGACTGGCCGCGGAAGCATGCCTGGTACAATTGATGATTACTGGCTTCGTGCACGCAGACCCCCACGAAGGAAACTTGAAGTATATGGACGATGGAAGAATCTGTTTTTTGGACTTCGGGTTGATGGACAGGGTGGACTCCAAAGTCATGGAGGGCTTTGCTGAAGGAATTCGTAGTGTTGTCGCCCGGAACTGGACTCAGCTGGCACAGGCCATGCAAGTCGTTGAATTTGTGCCCAATCCTGCCCGAGTCTTAGCAATCAATTTCGCGTGTAGCCTCTCGAGCTGGCATGATGCTGGCAATGCGACTTGATGCTTTGCTCCCAGATTTGGCTGAGGTCCGGAAGAATTTGAGACCGAACAGCACACGACCCTTGTGGGTGGAGAGCACTTTCGATGAATTGGTGGCTGCACTGGCTGAAGAGGTTGGAGACGACAGTGATGCACAGAGTCGCTTCGGCGATATGGCAGCTGCACTGAAACGATTGTCAAACCGGTTCCTGATGCTGACTCCAGACTATGTAGTGCTGATGACACGCACCTTCGTGACATTGGAGGGAATTGCAGCACAATACGACCCAGATTTCAACATCTATACGACGGCGCTGCCCATCACTTTGCGCCGTAATGTTTCGCCGAGCACCGCGGCCTCCCGCAAAGCCTTCCGGAATAATGTGCTGACGGAAGACGGAGAGTTGAAGTGGAATGAGGGGCTATTGAATCAGGCTATTGAAGACACCAGAGCAAGGTGTTGAAGCAGAACATGAAGATACGAAGATGAGTTTGTTGGATGAGAACGACGAGCCTTTCTCCTCTGAAAGTGGCTTTAAGCCCTTAGAGGGCCTACTTGGGTCCAGTGAGGGCAGCAGCCTGCGACGACTCGCCTACGACGTGGACATCCAGGCCTTGATCGCCTACCTGGCCTCCAACCAGGGACGCTCACTGCGAAAACAAGCAGCATCTTGGCTTGCGAAACAGCTGGACGTCCGCCGCCTCGCGAGATCAGCGAGGAGCATTGCGAAAGAGCCGCCTGCCGCCTCCAAAGAGTTTGAGAAGCTCCAAGGGCAGCGAGCCCAGCGTGAAAGGCGTGCGCTGCTCTTCATCTTGAGGAGCCAGTGGAAGCGCCTGCGCTATCGAGCACTCCCCTCCCTTGCACTTGTTATTATGGTCTTCCTCCTGCGTGTCTCTGGAACGTCTGCCGCACTCTGGCTCGTGAAATGCCCGCTCGTGGTGTCCAGATCTTTTAAAACGCGGCTTCAAGGGCTGCAGCCCGCCAAGAGCTAGCGTCTCCAGACTTCTGATTTGCCGGACGCGGGAGACATGTTTTAACAATAGAGCCTACTGTAACCGTAAGGCAGTTGTTGGACTTAGCTTTCATAGCGCGTTACAGATGGAACTGCAGCTAAATGGCTTGAAATGGCATTCAGAGAGTTGAAAACTGTGGGGCTTCAGGATCTCAGCCATCGTGGCTTTCCAAGAAGTTTAGCTTGATCGTCCAGGCACCTGCTGCTGTGGTCCGTTTTGTTGCTGCTCGTGAGCATTACTTGTGCTTCATGCTGGAACTGCCGACAGCAGGCTGCAAAGCGGTTGCTCAACCTTGACATTCAGGAATCAACGTTAGAGACCCGCTCTCCCATGCGGCAGTTGCTCATGCCACGCCGCTATCTACTACCCCATAGCCCGAAGCGTACGAGAGGCCTTGTCGAGTCTTTTGGACTCCAGGCCGGATCGAGGCCGGCTGTTGGCTTTGGGAGTTGCTGCTCTGCCACAGAAACATGAGACATGAGTCCATTTCAGTACGTCGATGTGCATAATTCCATGGCCAGTCGTGGTTTCTGCGTATTGGCGACTGACCGTCAAGATGCTTCGAGCCGCCAGAATCCCAGCCATGCTGCACTAGAACGGGATAGTGGGTGGCATCGACTTGTAAAAGCCGCCACGTTTAGCCAAAGAACCCCTTGCTGCCATCTCGACATTGGCTCTCGGCACTTTAGACCCTGGCAATTGTCGGTTATGAGGGAGAGGAGAGGGAGTGTTCGTAACGAGTAATGACTCGGGGTAGGACTCTGTTGTAAACTACGTTGTCTTATCTGATGTGGTACGTCATTTAGAGAATCGAGAAGAAGACTCCATTCCAGATCAAGCTCCAAAGTTCTGCCCTGAGCTCAATCAAACCCGACGAACCCTCATTCCGAACTCCCAAAGACAAGCACACTTCTCGATTTGTGCGTGTCATCTTGAGCCACGATTTCAGGTGGTGTCATCCTGCAGGGGCCATGCTAATCTTAGCATGCGCTTCAGCATGCTCTTGGTACATTTCTCGATTTGTGCACCTTAGCTGCAGACATGAGCAACAGCAATGACGGCTCTCGACTGAGAGAGGTACGCCAGAAGCACTGGTCCCTTTACATCACGACTGCTGGATTTTGATTTGGCCACAAGCGTGGGCATCTGCGAACTTGCAAGTTTGGTCTCAGGCTGCGCGGCGGCTTTCGCAGAATTTCGGCCAGAAGCAACAACTTCTTCTGGGTTGTGATGCAGCCAACCTAGAATGTCAGCGTGCAAAGCGGCTCACATTCTGCCAAATTGGCAAGCAGGTGACATGGAATGTTCGCATGGCGAGTATCAGTGTCTCAAGGGTGCCATCGCCTGCGACTTGCCTCCTGCTTCAGGCGGCAGACGAGATGGATGTAAACTGTCGCATCCTGTCGCTTGCTCGTCCTATCCAGTCCTGTAGGTGAGGAAGGGCTCCTCAGCATTGATTTGTGCCGAGCTCTTGGCCTTGCTCGCGCACATGGTTGTATAGTGACTACATGCTGACGGCTCCAATCTGGAAGCTTACCGGCAGTTCTGCAACATGCTCGGGCTCAAGATTGGTCCAAATGGTTAATGCTGTCACCGTAAACTCAGCCAGGAGCGCAAAGAGGTGAGTGCGGTGGGTTCGTAGATCAGGCAAGCTCAGGGTCCAGAGCCCAGGAGCACCAGCGGATCACTAGGAGCTGAAAAGTTCTGAGCGTTTCCCCATCGCAGCCGACGAGTGCTGTGCCCTGTGTAGTTGATGGAAATCCACTGGGGTCTGGACGAATGGACGCCGGAGGCTACGGATTTCGTCGCTCGCGAAGGTGCTGCCCTTGCCCAAAACGTGAAATGCTGCTCGTTTGACGGCTCGCAAGCTCCGGTATTGGGCTGCCACTCGTCACAGGAAGTTGCAGAGCCGAGACTTCGTATGCGTCGCTTCTTTGGCGTGCTGCATGCTGTGGGGGTCAGCTGCGCGCCGTTGTAGGACGTCCAAAGCCATCCATGGCTTTCGCACAACTCCCGCGGTTACCAGTGCCTGGTCCGAGAAATCATCTCGGATAGCGTATGCACAAATCCCCGATGGAACTGACTGGTTGCGGAACGTCGCAGGGTTTGAGCCAGCTTGGATGGCAGCTGGTCCACGTCAGATCTGTTGACAGAAAGTCACTACAAGGGACAGCTGGCATATGTCGCGCTGCTCCTGGGTTTCTGTCTTCGTCGAGCTGATCCTCAGGTTCCTCGCATACTGCTCCTCGGAGGCTCCGTGCCCTCAGTGCAAGATCCCAACATTTGGACTGAGGCTTCGAAGTGTATAGTCGAGGATACCGCATATTCCATCAGGATTCGGTTCAAGATGAATGCAGAGGAGCTAGATGCTCTTTTCATCACCGTTCGCGATGGCGACCAGGCCGAAGCAAAAGAAGTTCTATCGAAATTCGACATGACCTGGTTGCACAGCTCGCTGCAGCAAAACAGTGCTCTTTTTCGTCGCGGCACGACGTCGGCGAGGGAGCGAAGTGTTCGCAAGAGAATGCGTCCGGAGAGTCCCCGTTCGCGCGAAAGAAAGAACGATCGACGCTGCCTGGAATACGTGTGGCAAGTTGTCGAGATCGATCTCATCGAGCAACGGGCAGCAGACAAAACGCGTGGGAAGCGTCATCGCCACGTGTTCATCAAACTACGTGCCTTCTGGTGCCCTACGAGAAACGGGTTTGTTTTGATCTGGACATCATCTTGGGCCCGTCTCCGCGAGAACTGTTCGGCGATGTTCGGCGTCTCTGCGCCGGCGGGGCTGTATCACGGGTGCTGGAATCGCGATGAAGTTGCGCATGGGAAAGGGATCCCTACCGATGCCTCCCATGGCTGGAGGTTTCGCGGTTGTGTAAACGCAGGCTTGCTACGGTTGGATACGCCAACGTCAGAGCAACGCAGAAAAAGAAGCATTGTTCTTCGCAACGCTTCGCAATGCTCGCCGCAATGCCTGGAGCTGTGAGAACTCGGCAGAGCGAGGAGCTGTTCAAGAGCTCGCAGGCACTCCGTGAAGTGCTGCCCCTTTATTTATGCTTGGGAGTGTTCCGAAGCACCGCTTTGGGGCGGCCCACAGGCGGTGTTCAAGCATCCAAGCTTTTAGAGGATCGCGGCAGAGAGGCCGATGAGCACTACAGGGCCGAGGTTGTGCAGGCTGCCAAGGCAGAAGGCTTGACAGTCTGACTGACCAAGCGCACCCATAATCTTCAGCATGTTTGGATCGTCTTGTTCGAGAACGATGTCGATGTCGATCGACGTCGAATCGGAAGCGTCGAGGTTTCACTTGACCGATGCAGGATTTGGAAAATAAGCTGCTTATTGTTGTGGGTTGCGTGCTGTAGAGACAGCTGGTTTGCATGTTGAAATCCAGCACTGGCTGCGGCTGCCTGAGGCAATGTTCATGGTCTTTCATGTTCCAAGCTTAGCTGGCAAACCTTTCCGCACCAACTCAGAGCCCACAAAGAAGCATAGAGCCCCGATGGTAATTCTTTGTCAGACCTGCACTTCTCGTATCCTCTCGTCATACAAAGGCCCGCAACCTGCTGCGGAAGCGGCCAGAGCCACTCCGCTCAAGTTTGCATTGCCTTGCCCAAGAAGCACAGGTGACAAAAAGCGCCGTCTCAGGTTCCAGGCCGCACTGCCAACAGAAGAGGCGCGAGTGATTTCTATGCTGCTACAGTGAAAGCTGAGCCAACACCGTCTCCTGTGCACACGAGGTGTTCTATGAATACCTCGGCTGCATCGAGAACGGTCAGCCTGCACCTTGGAGGGCCCTTCCACTCAACGCTACGCCGCTACGCCCTATGCGTGTATGTGCGTGTATGCCTGTGCAGATCCTGCCGCGACCTGACGGGAGACCGAGGCTCTGAAGTGATGCTCTTGACTTGAGCGTGTCCCAGTGCCCCTCTTGGCCAGGCGTTGGAACCTTCGGCGGCAGCGAGGCCTCGGGAGCGCACGGGAGCGTCTGCTCAGCGGGATGCCCGGGATGGGGACCACACGGCAATCATGGCCTCGCAGACGGGCCACCCTCAAGGCAGGTTCACGGCCGATGGCATCTCCCATCACTTCCAGCATTGGGAAGGTCTTCTCATACAAGCCCACAAGGCTGGAGCGCAGGATCCTCGTGCAGTCTTTCGGCTCTTGCACAGCTTCCACGCCCTCTTGCGATTGGTTTCGGATGCATCTGGTGCTGTGCAGGCTGGGGCGAGGACACGTGGAATTTCAAGGAACTGCCAACAAAAGCCGATTGCCTCATTGCACGGTGTCGCGAGGACGTAGATCTTGCATTCAGCACCGTGGCGGTGGTCCCGATGCATGTGCGGGAGCCCTGCACCTTTGCTTACCCGCGTGTGCCGTGTGCCCATCAATGCTTACGTACATGTGGCATGTAAGTCTTGTCGCAGGTGATCGAACAGCAAAAATTCTTCGTTCACAGCCTGCAGGCCAGTTCAGTCCGAGCAGTGCTGCCTCCAGAACGACCCCGGTGACATTTTGGGTTGTGAGATGCAAAACTTTAGGTTACACGGCATCGACTTTAGGCCAAGCTCACAACCACAAAACGCTGAGTACGCGCAGCGTGCTACGGCAGAGAGCATGCGCAGGGGAGGCATTGGAAGCTCGCTTCAAGCAATTCTTCGCGGAGAATGAGGCAATTCCATTCCTGCTTTTAGAATGCCATCCCGGCAGTTCAACCGACATTTAGGGCTTCTTTTGCGAGGAGTGTGCGCCTGGGGTTGCAGAGGCCAACATGATCTCGCCCCGTGAAAACTCAGACAGTTCCTTGCATGGCCATGTCACAGGCGTTCTCGGCAGAAGATGAGGCGAGTTTGGGAGCTCTAGCCATCACCTCCGCTGCGAGACTCGGTCTCTCATTTCAGGCTCTTGGGAAGACCGAGTGCAGACAGATCACAAAGCGCGGGAGATGCTTGCAGCCTTCCTGGCCCCTCTGTTCACAGCCCGCCGTCCTGAGATTGCAGCCGAACCGCGTTTTAGCTGACGATGGCCTTCGGCGCCGTTGGGTGGAGCGGCCGTGGCTCTCCAAGGCCGCTCGAGTTTCGGCTCACGTTGCAATCTCTTTTGCATTTGCTCACCGTCACAGACGAAGTAGCGGCTGCGTAAGTTCTGAGGTTTACCTCGGTTTGCGGCGGCACGGACATGACTCCAACATCAACTTGCTGCGCTACATCTCTGGCCGCGAGCTGGGTTTGTATCGGTATTTGCAGGGTTTTGGGATGTTCATCACAGCAGCACGCTCAGGCACGGGTCATGCACATCTCGGCTCGAGATGGTTCGGGGTAATTGCAAGCGGATACGTGGGTGGCCCGGTGTCGTGGTCGCAAAGTCGCTGCACGTATGCCTCGCTTGGGGAATAGAAAATCTGAGACCGAGGCCGCCAGGCCAGGGCTGAAGAATTTTCCGCCCACGGCCACACCAGCAGCAGCCAGCAAGAAGAGCAGCAGCAACAAGAAGAAAAACATTGTCAAGTCTGGCTGGACCGAGGCACCCGCACCGGGCGCTTGCGAGAGTACATGGTGGCATCCTGAGCTTGCGGTGCACAAATATTCCAAGTTTGCACATACACGTGAGCAAGACCACTCGTGCTATTTTTCGGAATCGCGCATCCACACGACAAGTCGGGGGGATGAAGCCTCAGGCCACTCGGAAGCGAAAGCCACAAGAGGCCGCAGAGCAAAGTTCTCAGATGGCCTGACGGCAGCAAAAGCGAGAGAGTTGCATGTCCTCCGTAACCTCTGCAACAAGGAGCTGCACTGCGCAGCCATCTCACATGCCCTACGTCGGGTCATGTCACATGCACATGTTCGAGAACCGTTAACAAAGAGAAAAGCGCAGCTACTTGTAGCGCTTTAGCGCGACCATCCGTCGAGTTCAGCTGCCCGTGAATGAAAAGCATTGCAGCGAGAAATGCCCACGACATTGGCAGCCGCAAACATTAAAGACCTATGTAAAAGACTATCCGCAGGTCCAAAAGTGTGCGAGGAGAAAGGCGGGAAACAACGGCACACATGGGGCACTCTGAGAAGCACAGATCTTACGCAACGCAGCCAGACCCTGGATAGCAAACCTCACGAAGGAAGTAGGACCAGGATCGTCTGGCTCACCGTCTCGCCTGCTGGTCGGTGCGCTGAAGGCACCAAGTTCGTCATTTTCTTTGCATAAGATAGTTCGCAGTGCGAGAGAAGAGCAGCCGGCTGCGCTGCAGACTGTGCCCGGTGTTGTGTGCGAACAGGCGGACCGGACAAAGCTTGGGCAAGGTTTTCTACTGCGCATTTGGTGCGGTCCAGATGACGACTTCAAATCAGTGTTTAACAAGGCCTGCAACTGCACTCAGATTCGCCGAAGTTTGGCTACGAGATGCTACGAGTTTGAAATCTGAAGGCTTTTGTGAATGCACCCTCTGTTGTACATGTACACCATGGCCATGACATGCATGTGTTAACTGTATATATTTCCCGCTGCCGTTAGGGCCCTTGAGTCATATTCAGATAGCTTCGCAGTCGGCGAAAAGATCCACCAGTTTCTCAAACTGGCAGCGGAGCCAGGTACCTCCGGGACCTGTATCTGCGCGGATCGCAGTAGCCTGTAGCCTGTGCTCAATACCTACCATTGCATACCTCCCTCTCAATTCTTTCCCTTCGAACTTTCGCCAAGCATGTCCGTGGCCGGTCTTCGGTACAGTCGCTCCACCTACCCGAGTACTCCCCTTGAGACTCGTAGCGGGAGCTACATATATGATGGCACCCCCAGTACGTTCCACGACTGGGAGTTTAGGACCTCTATGAGGCTTAAACTGTACGAAGATGCCATCAGGAGCAAATCTAAGAAGACCGTGGAGCCAGAAGAAGAAGGCAGTGACGATGAGAGCCGCGTCGTGGAGCAGAGTCCGACTGCGGGAGCCACTGCCCCTGTACCTCCCGAGGACAGGCCCGACATAGATGCAGCCGAGGCATCTGCAGCAGCCTCTGATGGTGGATCTCGCAGGAGACCATCTGCACCGAAGTCACCTGACTCGGTCACAGAACTGCCGGTTGCCGACGAAATGTCATCCTATGCGATTTAAGCACGAACCGAAATGGTGCATAAAGTGCTGGAAGGACTTCGGGACGAAGCCTTCGAACTCGCCCGGGATATCGGTATCGAATCCCTGACTGCCCCTGGTGGCCTCCGGGATTTCATCACCAAGTTGAGGAATGTCGTCTTCCCCCGTGCGACCGAAGAAGCTCGAGAGCTCTTCCGTGCGGGCCAAAAGCAAGGTGTCCTCGCACGCCAAGGTGGCGAGTCGATGCTGTCGTACGTCAGCCGACGACGACGCTGGTGGAAACTGCTCAAAACTCTCGACGCCAGCATCGAGCTTTCCGAGCCGATGCGCGTAGAATTGCTATTGGAGCTTTCCGGTTTGACTCGGCAAGAGTGCCTTGTCATTAAGGCATGCACCACTAGCAACCGGAGCTTTGAAGCAGTTGCTGCTACCCTAGTGGAGCACTACAGCGGCGTTCACCTAAAGGAAGGTCGTTCCTTAGGTGGCGGTACCTTTCAGGACCGCCGACCGCCTCACCATCCTGGTGCCCGCCGCGGGAACCCTAAGGGCTACGGTAAGAATAGGTCTAAGGGTTTTAACCGTCGCGCCTACGTCGCTGAAGACGAGACGCAGTACTACGACGACGCGCCGCCGGACGACGGCGACGATGCCGAAGAGTACGACGACACCTCGTGCCCCGCCTTTGGGGACGAGCCTGAGTACGATCCTCATTCCTACCCCGCCGGGGAGGAGGAAGAGGACCCGGGCTACGAGGAATTCGAGCTCGAGGAAGAAGAGGCAACTGCCCTTAACTGCCTCGAGGAGCTTGATCCCGAGGATGCAGACAGCGGCCATGTGATCCAATTGCAGCTTGCCGCGAACGCCGCATTCGGAAAAGCGAAGGGGCGTAAGGGCAAGGGCCGCAAAGGAAAAGGGAAAGGTAAGGTAGTGCGATCACACCTTACGCTCGACGAACGTCGCGAGAAAATGAAAAACCTGAAGGCACGGTCGAAATGCCTCAGGTGTGGAGCTATTGGTCACTGGGCAGGTGACCCCGAGTGCAAATTCCCTACCTCTAAGGGAGGGAAAGGGAAACCCCGGGCCCACATAGCAATTGTGGAGCCCCGACAGGACCCCGACGGGGGCC